CTTATTTATTTATTTATTTATTTATTTATTTATTGGATTTTGAGACAGGGTTTCTTTGTGGCTTTGGAGCCTGTCCTGGAACTAGTTCTTGTAGACCAGGCTGGCCTTGAACTCACAGAGATCTGCCTGCCTCTGCCTCTGGGATTAAAGGCGTGCCCCACCACCGCCAGGCTCTTTTTTTTTTAAAGATTTATTTATTTATTTATTATGTATATAATGGTCTGCCTGCATGTGTCCCTGCAGACAGAAGTTGGCACCAGATCTTATTACCGGTGGTTGTGAGCCACCATATGGTTGCTGGGAATTGAACTCAGGACCTCTGGAAGAGCAGTCAATGCTCTTTAACTACTGAGTCATCTCTCCAGCCCCATGTTGAACTCTTTATAAGAAGTCCCATATTAAATGATCTTCCAGCTGAGTAATGTGATTGCTAGCATCTAGATTGGTACCAAGTCTGCTGGTGATTAACAGTCCAAGAGTTTTTTCCTTTTTCTCTCTCTTTCTCTCTTTCTTTCTTTTTCTTTTTCTTCTCCTTTTTCTTCTTTTTTTCTCCTTTTTCCTCCTCCTCCTCCCTCCCTCTTCTTCCTTCTCCTCCTTCTTTTTCTCCTCCTCCCCTTCCCTCTCCTCTTCCTCTTCCTTTTTTGAGACAGGGTCTCTCTAAATTCTCTTGGTTGACCTGGAGCCTGCAATCTCTACAATCTCTACATAGGTGAGACTGACCTTGACTTCACAGCTCACAGAAATACGCCTTCCTCTGTCTCCCACGGGCTAGGATTAATGCACCCCCAGGCCCTGTTTTTGCTCAACAATTTCTAATCCTGAGGAAGGATTTAGAGAGGGTTCTAACAATAACCACTATGGTTCACTTCAAAAGTTTAAACACAAAGTACATTTAAATGAGGAATCCTACTTTTACAGCAAATATCTATTTAAGTGTGTGTGGTCTACGTAGGAGGTTGAGAGGTTGACATTGACTGTCTTCCTCACTTGCTCTTCACCTTTTTTTGGAAGGGGGAGGGGGATGTCTCGCTGAACCTGAGGCTCATTAATTCAGTTAGAGTTGCAAACTTCAGGGATCCTCCTGTCTACACTCTACCCTGCCAACCCAGTGCCGGGCTTACCAATGTGCACCACTGTATCCAGCCTTTTGCATGGGTCCTCACGCTTTCATGACAAGTGCTTTACTAACTGAGCTATATCTTCAGTCCAACATCAATGTTCTCTAGCCATCAACTATTTATTTAGTTATTTAGGCGAAGTCTCGCTAAGTAGCCTGTCCTATTTAAGGTCACCTTGACACAAGCCAGAGTCTTTTGGGAAGAGTGTAACAGGGCAAAGGTTTTTCCATCTTGTCTCAGCTGAAGCCATCTTTGGTTTCTACCCCCTGCCCTGAAAAGTCCTGTGCGAAGGCACCCAGTGCTGTTCTAGAAACTTAAGGTCAAAAATGTCCCAGCTAACTGCATGTTCTTGGCTCTTGTTAAACTACTTGCTTGCAACCACCAACCAGGATGTGGTTTTTCTGTGTTCTGTCTTTAAAACTTTCTGCAATGCTTCCTCCCCCGTGCAAATACTTTTTGTGCTTTTCCTCAGACATGCAGCAGCATGTTCAATACAGACTCTCAATTCAAACTTCAGTCCTTTGATTGTGTTGAGGGGTCTTTACCCCATAACAAGAGGGAATTTCAGTTGAGACAATGCCTTACCGGATGGGCCTGTGGACAAGTCTATGGCACATTTTCTTGATTGACATGGGAGGCCACAGCACACTGTGTGTAGTACCACCCTGGGGCTAGTAGTCCTAAAAGCTACAAGCAAGTGGGTTGAGCAAGCCGTGAGGAGCAAGCCAGTGAGCAGTGTCCTGCCCTGACTTCCTTCAGTGGTAAGCTGTGATGTGGATGTGGAAGTGACGTGTCCCTTTCCTCCGCAAGTTCCTGATGGTCTTGGTGTTTTATCTTGGGATTTTTAAATCAGCAATGGAAACCCAAACTAAGACAGCCCAGACTTGCTAGACCTCCAACGTCCCTGTCCTTGCTTCCCTGGTGCTGAGATCGCATATGTGTACCAATATGTCAATATGTCCAGCAGGCGACTTCCATGTTTTCTATTGTGAGAATGAGGCTCCTCACTTCATAATGAAGAGCACTGGAGATTGAGAATGGTAAAAGTTGTGCAGTTTATCTCACAATCTTTCATAGTCTGGTGGCAACCCAGACAAGAGGGGGCACAAACAAACTGAGCACCAAGAACAGTTTTTATGCCCTGAATGGTGGCCCCTTCCTCCTTATCTGCTTTGGCTGGGGGGGGGGGGGGTAATGCATAGTCCCACGGGTCACCTACCACTGTCATTTGTCTGTTTCTCAGCCCACATGATGTGTGGGTTAATTTACATATTTTATATCCTCCTTATTTAAGGGTTTTCAGGAGCATGAAAAGCCGTGAAGCACTTTATGTCCGAAAGTCATCAGGCCAGCTTGTCCCTTAGCCGTTTTCTTCTCTGAACTTCTGAGTTTGAGTGATGGTAGCTAGACTAGCAAGTGCCAGCAGGGCCCAGACTTCCTGTTCATCTATAGGTTGGTGTGCACTGGCTTAAGGCATTTTTGTTTTGAAAATGGTCCATTTTTAATGAGGACTACTGAGAACTCAAGAACAAGAACAATGGCAATGGGTTTTTGATCCTACTGCACGTACTGGCTTTGTGGGAGCCTAGGCAGTTTGGATGCTCAACTTACTAGACCTGGATGGAGGTGGGCAGTCCTTGAACTTCCCACAGGGCAGGGAACCCTGATTGCTCTTCCGGCTGAGGAAGGAGGAGGACTTGATTGGGGGAGGGGGAGGGAAATGGGAGGCGGTGGCGGGGAGGAGGCAGAAATCTTAAAGAAAGAAAGAAAGAAAGAAAGAAAGAAAGAGAGCGTGAAAGAAAGAAAATGGTCCATTTTATTTTTTACATTTATCATCCTAAAAAAAATTCACAAGTTAAGTTAAACATTCACATATACTGTCTTCTATTTCCTTTTCATCTTTACAACAACCATGAGAGAGAAATACAAGATTATTCAACATATGTACAAACACACACATTTTTGTGATATTAGACTATTTTCAGACAGTATTGATTCCTTTCAAAAGTTTAATTGTCATTCATTGGTCAATATGATTTTTTTCCTTGAAGCCTTGAAAGCAATTTTTTGGCTTAGCTGACTCCTTGGAACTATTTTACTATTTCAAATTAAATTGATGGGGACAGGTAAGATGGTTCAGCGAGGAAAAGCACTTGCTACACATAAAAGAGGAAGAACAGACTTCATAAAGTTATCCACCGACCTCTACATACATGTTGTGACATGCATTTGCATACACACACACGCACTATACACAAGTACCATAAAATATTAAAATTCATACATTCAAAAACTGAGATGTTTAGTCCAATTTCTAAATCTTACTTTATTTCTAAGTGAGGCAAATTTTAACATCTACCTTTGAGTGGCTTGTTTTTGTTTCTTGAGGCTTGGTCTCCCTGTGAGCTGCTAACGAACCTTGATCCATCTTCCTCGGTCTCAAGTCAGAGGTGTGCAGCAGCATGTTCTGCAAATGTCGTCTTTTATTGGTACTCGATGCCACTTACAAACTCAGAGATGCTCCAGCTAAATATGTGGATCAAGTTTATTCTTTTAACACGGCTATCTGGCAGAAGCTATCCAAAAGTTCAGAACAGTATGAATTTCCGAAAATTATAATTCCTCCAAACTATAAGTTCTCTCAAACATTACTTATATCCTTTATAAATTCATCTTAATCTTTTCAACTTAACTCTAAAATTAAAAATTCACTAACACATTTCTGATTTCATGTAGACAGAGGCTGCTTGTTCCCAGCTGCCCAGACCCAAAATAATCAAACAGAAACTATATTAATTGCAATATTGCTTGGCCTATTATTTCATGTTTCTTATTGGCTTGCTCTTATATCTTACATTAACCCATTTCTATTAATCTGTGTATCACCACGTGATTGTCTGGCGTTTGGTGTCTGTCTTCTGCAGTGGCTACATGGCTTCTCCCAGGCTTCACCTACTCTCTTGCTATATCTCTTCCAGCTATATTATGCCCGTCATAGGCCCAAGAAGCTTCTTTATTCACCAATGGCAATAAAACATATTTATAGCATACACAGTGGAATCCCACATTATCTCCCCTTTTCTGTCTAAATAAAAAGGGAGGTTTTAACTTTAACATAGGAAGCTTACATATAACAAAACAGGTATCAAGCAAGAATTACAGTTACAATATTTATATCTACTTAATCTTTTATCATAACTAAGAAAAACTATAATTATAACTATCTATTCTTCAACTTCATCAAAAACTCCAGAAGGATATAATATTACCTAAGTTAACAGAAAATGCATTGTAAGCAACTTCCAAAACTCTAGAATTGACAGAGACATCTTGCTACCTGAACAGTCTGTAACACTGGGGCACCCATCTTCAGCCTACAGGCCCATTTTTCAAGAAGGGAAATTTTAAAGACAGTTCCACCTATATTGGCAGCTTGTCGGTCACTTTCTTCTGTGTCCTGCAGAACATCTGGCAGACTCTTTCATGAAGCAGGAACCCTGGAAGACTGTCTCATCTTTAGGCAACTTCAGCAGTCATTTTTCTGTGGGTCCTGCACATCCAGTTTATACAGAATAACATCAAGAAGTCCAGGCAAGAGCAGTTTCTTACCCAAATGGCTAATAAACTCTATAAGGAGCCTCTTCAATGCCTATCATCCTCTTGAAGTAGATTGCCAGGAGTAGATGTGTCTCATTGTCATGAAAAGTCCTAAGTTTTTAAAATATCTTAAATGCCATATTCTGTTAGTCTTTAAAGATTTGAAGAATATCTATCCATCTGAAATATATCTCTGTACATTTAGAAAACCTAACATGACTACAAGCTTGACTATCACAGGTGACTGTATATTAACCTGTATTTCTTAATTATACATTACATTCTAAAATAAGTTGCACAAACATAATACCTTAATTAAGAGCAGAAATATACATATAACAAAACTGACCTTAAATTTGTATCAGTAGACCAAGACCCATACCAATGTAAAGTATTCATCTCTATAGCAATTTCAATTAATTAAACTCATAATATCAGGACCTCTAATTAGCTAAATTTTCTTTGTTATTGTATACAAAGTATGAAACCTATAAAAATCAGTTCCAAAGTTTATATAAAATGATGTGTTTTGATAAACATTCATTGTTTTCCTGTATGTAAGAGCCAAGTGAGATAGTCTTATCAGGTATGAAAATTGGGGCTAGTACTCAACAAGCTTATTTAACTAACCAACAGTGCAGGGTCTCGGCTCAGTGGCTGATAATAAACCCAAAACCAAGGCACCTCAGAAGCAGTTTTTCTTCAACACTGAGACAATTTTAGCTCCATATTTTTATTACTTTGCAATTATACTGTAATTCCATTCCTCACAAATATGGCTATGCCCAAGATTCCATCCCCTGGGGTCAAATCACACATTGCTTGATAAGGAAGGTTGGATTCAATTGATTTATATATCCTTAGGTCCTATTCTTTTTCCACCTTGCATTTTTTATTTGACAATCTCAAACATGTATACGAAGATCAAGTCCATCCCCAGCTCTTCCCTCCTCCCACTCAGCCAGATCTCATGTACTCTGGCTGATCTAGAACTTTCTATGTTATGATGTAGATCAGGTTGGCCTCAGGCACACAGAGATCTGACTGCTTCTGTCTAAAGAGTACTTTGCTGTGCACTTAGACTTTGCACAATTTTTTATTGTGATTTTGCTCATTTTATCAGTCTTTCACTGAAACTTTTCTTCAGACTGTTACATGAGAGAAATAGCCTAAGCAAAGAACATACTTCGGGGGTCTCTGGAATATGTTCTTCAACGTTTTCCTGCCCGTGGGTAGTGGGCCTTGGCCTGAGAAGGTTTAGTCTGTGATGATGTATGCTGAGTAGATCTAGGTTGAAAAGGCTTAGATTGGGGTCTATGTGGCTTGAACTGAGTAGATGTGGATGGGGAGGGTTTTGCTTGCGAGGGCTGGGGATGAGTGGGTTTAGCTTGGGAAGGCTGGGGATGACTGGGTTTAGCTTGGGAAGGCTGGGGATGAGTGGGTTTAGCTTGGGAAGGATAGGGATGACTGGGTTTAGCTTGGGAAGGCTGGGGATGACTGGGTTTAGCTTGGGAAGGCTGAGAATGAGGGGCTTTAGCTTGGGAAAGCTGGGGATGAGGGTTTTTTTTCTGAGGTTGAATGGGCTTAGGCTCAAAGTGTTTGACCTGGAACTTGGGTTGATGGAAGTTGAACTGGCAGGTAGATGAAAGTTTACTCTCAGGTGTGGACTGAGAGCCTGGCTGGAAAGCTGAATCTGAAGGCCTTCCCTGTTTAATCCTTTGAGATCCTTGATGACGAACAGGTATTTTTGGTTCTTGAATGACTCCTGCTGGCTGACAGGACGGAGGGTGAGGGTACTTACTATGCGATGTTGTCCTCGCAGGTTTTCTAGAGGCTTCACTCAGCTGCACCCCCTGGGTACAGGCTTTCACAGTCTGCGGCTTCCCTGCTACTGTTCTTGCTTGCCAGCCCAGAGAATGTGAGTGATCTACATGAGAGACCACCTGTGGGCTCTCAGGATGGTTCTGCACATGAGGAATTTGTCTTTGTGATCTCCCAAATGTTCCACTCGAATGATGCCCCTCAGAAGCTCCTGAAATTTTCATGAATCCTTGCCCTGAATAAAATCTCCAGGGTTGGAAGTTCCGAGGACCAAAGCTTTTCCCTCTGCCACGTACCCTTGTATTCTGATGGGGCAAAGGATAGAACCACTTAGCCGGGCTCTGCTGTGACCCAAAGTGGGGGCTCAGAACCCAAGGGGCTCTCAAGGGCCCGTGGTAAAAGTTACTTCCAAATGTGGTCGGCAGGGGCCACGGGTTTACTGGTGGAGGCACAAACACTGGAGTCTGGTGCAGATTCGGAGCATTCTGCCTGCCCTCACATTGCACTCCAGGCTCTCTGCCTGGCACCTGAGCTCGGCTTTCAGATGGGCTTTTTGTCTGACTACATGTTTGCTGGCTCTCACCTCCAGTCGTACTGGGGGAAAGTTGAATATCTTGAGGAATTTCTAAGTCTTGGTCTACCTGAATGCCCAGCTCCCTGGCCAGAGACGCCATATCTTCTAGGGACACATGTCTAAGCGAAGGGGACATTACTTCCTGGAGGGCAGCTTGAAGGGCCTCCAGCGTCTTCCTTCTATCCCCAGCTTCCTCCGCTTCCCAAAACAGTAACTGTGACGGCTTCAGTCTCAGGATCCTTTGGAAAATCTGAGCCTCTTCACTCTCCTTGGCCTGAGGACCAAGGACAAAGTAGCATCTTTCAATAGCATCTTCCCCTAAAAACATCAGCAAGTCCCATTCCTTCTCACCAAGGCAGTCGGTGAAGAAGAACACGGCTGAGGAAATTTCCACCAGAAAACCAAATTGAGTCCAAAAGCTTTCAAGATCTCCACGAAGGTTGGTCACAGCAACAGGCTTTTGGAAAACATGAGGATTTCCCCTTAGCTCCTTGTCAGGAAAACACCATGTCACCTCCACCAGGCCATCAGAAATTTGCCGAGGAAGCACAGGAATGGACGGATCCTGATGGAGAAAGATTTTGTGCGGTTTCTGTGGGGAGGAGCTGAGCAATGTGTTAAGGATTCTGGACTTGGAGAAGCTACAGTGTCCTAGCCGCACAAAAGAGATGACAGGCATCTTCCTGAGACTCAGAAATGCTTCTGTTTCCCTGGGGGGGCCCTCTGAGGACCGCGCTGGGTGCTGCTGTAAGTCTCTCATGGCCCCCAGCATTAAGATGCTCTTGTTGCTTTCTGCATCTGGCAGCAGGAGAGGAAGAGCGAACTGGCACTGGTACATGTTTGACAGGACTTCACGTTGCAGAGAGCTGTCCGAACAAAGCAGGCAGGCGCAAAGGACATCAAGGGGGTTGATGGTTTGTATGTCTCCAATTTCTAAATTCTCTATCCCAGCCAGCAACTCCTCGTTGCTCTCTTCATCCACCGTCTTGGGCTTAAGAATAAAGTCTCTGGCTGTCAAGTCTAAAGCCTGCACTTTCACCAGGAAATTCCAAGCTAAGTCTCCCGGAGTCTCAGGTGTCCACTCACTTGGTCGATCTATGGAAAATTGCTTCACAAAGTCTGGGAGAAGCTTTCTGCTTCTGTCCATGTTCAAACAGGACAGGACATGATGGAACACTCTTTTTCTTTCTGTAAAGCAGAGAGGACTCATTATTGCCTTGTTCAGAATCTCTTTCCTGCCCTTAAAAGTACGTAATTGGCAATTTCACCGCCCAAAGTTGAAACAATACAAAATGAAAGTCTCATTTCACCGCCCTTCCTGCCCTGTCCTCTGTCTACGAGGCCTACTAATTTGACATAGTCTATGCCTTAGCCTGTTCTCTGTTGCTGTACTACAGACAATGACCAAAAGCACTGGGGAAGGGGAGGAGTTAAGTCAGCTTATCTGTCCCAGTCATGGTCTACCAGAAAAAGAACTTCAAGACATGAACTCAAGGCAAGAACCTGGACGTAGGAACTGAAGCAAAGGCCACAGAAGAAAACTCCTCACAAGTTTGCTTTATATGGCTTGTTCGGCCTGCTTTCTTATCCATCTCAAGACTACCTGCCTTTTTCTCTACAAGTGTTATTCCTAGTAAGTAGAAAAATATATGTGAAAATGGGAGATAAGGGTAAAATAGAGACAGCATGTAACTTTTTGTGGGGGTGGCACTGCCCACAGTGGGCTGGGTCCTTCCACATCAATCATTAATCGAGAAAATGCCCCCCACAAATATGTCTACAGACAAATTTTATAGAGGCATTTTCTCAGCGGGCAAAGGTGTAAGTCTTACAGCTCTGAGGAGAAAGTTTCCCCAATGCAAGTATTGCAGCTCTGATGTGAAAAGTGTCCTGAGAGTTGGGAGCCAAGGAATACCACAAGTTACACCACACAGCAAGCCTCCCACAGATTTACAGGGGAAAAAGACAGAAGCAAGAAGCAGCAGAGAGGGCTGGAGAGATGGCTCAGTGGTTAAGAGCATTGCCTGCTCTTCCAAAGGTCCTGAGTTCAATTCCCAGCAACCACATGGTGGCTCACAACCATCTGTAATGAGGTCTGGTGCCCTCTTCTGGCCTGCAGACATACACACAGACAGAATATTGTATACGTAATAAATAAATATTAAAAAAAAAAGAAATAGCAGAGAACTGAGTGGGAGGCAGGCTTATATAGGTTTCTTGGGGGTGGAGATTTCCATGGTGGGGATCGGTGGAATTTCAAGTCTTGAGCTCAGGGTGAGCTCAGGGATTAGTGAGGTTTCAAGTTCAAACTTTTTACCCAGCAAAAGATGGTTAGTAAACTAGACAACCTGGGTTTCATCCCTTGGAGTCACACAGTAGAAGGTTAAAAAACCAACTCCCACAAGCTGTCCTCTGACCTCTGCATACATGCCATGGTAAACACGCTCACACGCATGCTCATACACATGCACATGAAATAGAATGTAATTCAACAAATTAAACAGTCGCTCAGAATTTACATAGTGGGCACTCCCCCTTTGGAACCCTTTATATTCTTTGGCACTTTCTTCACTCTCCCTCAATAAATCTATCTTTATTCTGCTTTAAAAAAAAGTTACATAGTTACATGCTGTCTCTATTTTATCCTTATCTCTCATTTTCACATATATTTTTCTATAATAACACTTAAAAAGAAAAATCAGAGCAGGTTTTCCTCTTGACAGATGGCAGCTACCACAAGATGTTTCATCTCTTTTGTTTTGCTGTAACCGAGAGCTTGAGGAAGGTGTGTGTGACAGAGTTTCAGGCAGCCAAGTATGGCTTTCATCCTTCTGCCTGGACTTCTCAAATGCTAGGATTTACAGACATGGAGCACCATGCCCTGAATAACCTAAGGTATAAGACCTGGTCTTGAGGTAGAGCTTAGCTGGTACAATGCCCTTCTAGAGTATGTGAAGTCATGTGTTTCATCCCCAGACTGGAAAAAACAAACAAACAAAAAATAGGAGTGACAGCACAGCCTATGGTCCCAGCACTTGGGAAACAGAAGCAGACGTACCTAAGTTCAAAGCCATTTTTGGCTACAGTGTAAGTCTGAGGACGGCCTGAGATACGTACGGCCCTGTCTCAAAAGAAAAGGTTCTCGAGCTACATGTTTGGTAGAGCCCACTCCTGTTCTATGGAGTCTATTCTATGTTTCTGTCTCACATGCAATACTTGTGTACTTTTAGTACAAAAATCTTAGTGTTGTAGGAGTGTGTGCGTGTATAGATGTGCTTGCCATGGAATGCATGTGACAGTCAAGGGACAGCCTTCAAGAGTTGGTTCATTACTCTACGTTCATTTTTAATAAACCTATACTTTCAGTACTCAAAAAAGAAAAAGGATTGCACACATCAATGTCTCTTGGTCAGGATGGTGATCTATGGACCAGGTCCAGACATCCTGAGATCTTAACTATGCACCGAAAGTTCCTCAACTGATGCTCTCCACTTAGTTAAAACTAAAAATTGCAAAACCCAATTTGTTTCTGGCTTTGAAGCCACTAAAATTACTAAGGTGCTTTAATCTGAAAACAGAAAGTACTGTCTAAAGTCACTGGCTAGTGGCTGGAGACAGAGATCAGGCAGTACGACGCTTGGCTGGCATGCACTGAGGTTCCATCTCTAGCACCAAATAAAATCACGTGTGGTGATCATGCCTGTAATCGTACAACTTCAGAGGTGGAGGCAGGAGGATCAGAAACTCAAAGTCATCCTCAAGTACATAGTCACTTCAGGACTATCCTGGGTGTCACAAGACTCTGTCTCATGTGAATAAATGGGACCTCCTGAGACTGAAAAGCTTCTGTAAAGCAAAGGACACTGTCACTAAGACAAAAAGGCAACCCACTTACTGGGAGAAGATCTTCACCAACCCCGCAACAGACAAAGGTCTGATCTCCAAAATATATAAAGAACTCAAGAAACTAGACCGTAAAAGGCTAATCAACCCAATTATAAAATGGGGCACTGAGCTGAACAGAGAATTCTCAACAGAAGAACTTCAAATGGCCAAAAGACACTTAAGGTCATGCTCAACTTCCTTAGCGATCAGGGAAATGCAAATCAAGACAACTTTAAGATACCATCTTAGCCGGGCGGTGGTGGCGCACGCCTTTAATCCCAGCACTCGGGAGGCAGAGGCAGGCGGATCTCTGTGAGTTCGAGGCCAGCCTGGTCTACAAGAGCTAGTTCCAGGACAGGAACCAAAAGCTACGGAGAAACCCTGTCTCGAAAAATCAAAAAAAAAAAAAAAAAGATACCATCTTACACCTGTCAGAATGGCTAAAATAAAAAACACCAATGACAGCCTTTGCTGGAGAGGTTGTGGAGAAAGGGGTACACTCACCCATTGCTGGTGGGAATGCAAACTTGTGCAACCACTCTGGAAAGCAGTGTGGCGGTTTCTCAGGAAATTCGGGATTAACCTACCCCTGGATCCAGCAATACCACTCTTGGGAATATACCCAAGAGAGGCCCTATCATACAACAAAAGTATATGCTCAACTATGTTCATAGCAGCATTGTTTGTAATAGCCAGAACCTGGAACAACCTAGATGCCCTTCAACGGAAGAATGGATGAAGAAAGTATGGAATATATACATATTAGAGTATTACTCAGCAGTAAAAAACAAGGACTTCTTGAATTTTGCATACAAATGGATGGAAATAGAAAACACTATCCTGAGTGAGGTAAGCCAGACCCAAAAAGAGGAACATGGGATGTACTCACTCATATTTGGTTTCTAGCCATAAATAAAGGACATTGAGCTTATAATTCATGTTCCAAGAGAAGCTAAATAAGAAGGTGAATCCAAAGACAAACACATAGGCATCCTCATGAATATTAACCTTCATCAGGTGATGAAAGGAGACAGAGACAGAGACCCACATGGGAGCACCGGACAGAAATCTCAAGGTCCAAATCAGGAGCAGAAGGAGAGAGAGCACGAGTAAGGAACTCAGGACCACGAGGGGTGCACCCACACACTGAGAAAATGGGGATGTTCTATCGGGAACTCACCAAGGCCAGCTGGCCTAGGTCTGAAAAAGCATGGGATAAATCCGGACTAGCTGAACATAGCGGACAATGAGGAATACTGAGAACTCAAGAACAATCGCAGTGGGTTTTTGATCCTACTGCACGTACTGGCTTTGGGGGAGCCTAGGCAGTTTGGATGCTCACCTTACTAGACCTGGATAGAGGTGGGCGGTCCTTGGGCTTCCCACAGGTCAGGGAACCCTGATTGCTCTTCAAGCTGATGAGGGAGGGGGACTTGATTGGGGGAGGGGGAGGGAAATGGGAGGTGGTGGCGGGGAGGAGGCAGAAATCCTTAATAAATAAATAAATTAAAATAAAAAAAACATAAAAAAAAAGACTCTGTCTCATGGATCTGAAATCCACTCTGTAGGAAGGTGTTTATGCCTAGTACTATAGACGTGGTCAAAAGCTCATAGTTAGGGAGGGCATAGGCCCTGCAGGAGAACATGTTGCTTCTGTTGTGCTGAATGAACATGCTGTCAAACTGCCTCCTGATGGATGTGTATACCCATACTCTAGTGATGCCATCAGCCTTGGTCAGAAATGTCTCCTTCAAACCAGGCAGTGGTGGTGCATGCCTTTAATCCCAGCACTTGGGAGGCAGAATCAGGCAGCTCTCTGTGAGTTCAAGGCCAGTCTGGACTACAGAGTGAGTTCCAGGACAGCCAAGGTTGTTAGAGAGAAACCCTGTCTCAAAACAAAAATAAATAAATAAATAAATAATAAAAAAAAAAGATCTCCTTCTGCAGCAAACTAGTTAATACAGAGTCTCACAGCTGGCCAAGGTTTGGGAATAAATGACTAGCTAGTGATTAGCACTTAAACGAATACCCACACGATCCCTTCCTCGGCACAGAGAGCATGGTGGATAAAGGGGTAGATGGAGACAAGGGCCGGAAAACGCTGTCTTCTAGGCAAGAAATGGCCTGAAAGCTGTCCTCTGACCTCCACCCCCCCCAACATACAGACGTAGATAGATAGATAGATAGATAGATAGATAGATAGATAGATAGATAGAATGTAATTAAAAGGCTTGGTACTCACATAAAAAGGAAGAGTCTCTGGGTGGTGGTGGTGCACGCCTTTAATCCCAGCACTCGGGAGGCAGAGGCAGGCAGATCTCTGTCAGTTTGAGGCCAGCCTGGTCTACAAGAGCTAGTTCCAGCACAGGCACCAAAGCTACAGAGAAACCCTGTCTCAAAAAAAATAAAATAAAATAAAAAAAGGAAGAGTCACATCTAATATTTTGTTTCACAGTTAGACATCTTCGGTTGAGAACAATTAATTTCTCTAGATCAGCTAGCATGAGAACTATTTCGTTTTGTGTTTGCTTTGAGACAGGACTTCATTAGCCCAGACTGACATCAAATTCCCAGTCTTCCTTCCCCAGTCTCAGAATGTTGGCATTACCTGCATGCACTCCCACACCCAGAGAGAGGATTCTGAATGTTCCCCAAAGAAATCATACGTGTCTGGGCAAAAGCTAAGCCAATTACCCTCAGCTGATTAGCACACCTTGTTCGTGTTTACCGAAACGTTATATTTGTACTCCATAAACATGCAGGTCACTGTGCATCAATTCAACTAAAAATGTAACTTTAAAAATAAAAAACATGTAAGAAAATGTATAGAGATTATATACAGGTAGCAGGCTGCTTTCTTTTCTTTCTTTCTTTTCTTTATTTTTTCTTCTTTCTTTTTTCAGGTTTTTCAGTGTGCAGTCCTGGCTAGCCTGAAACTCTGTGCCTCAGGCTGGGCTCAAATTTTCAGTAATCATCCTGCCCCAGAATGAGCTCCATCACGAGCCACCAAACCTGATTCACTATGCCATTTTAAATAAGGGGTTTGAGTATTCACAGATTTTGCTAGCCAGAGGATGACATCAAATCTATTTTCTGGTCCTGGAGAGATGGCTCAGAAGTAAGAGCACTGGCTGCTCTTTCAGAGGTCCTGAGTTCAATTCCCAGAAACTACATGGAGGCTCACAAACGTCTGTAATGAGATCTGGTGCCCTTTTCTGGTGTGCAGCCACAACACTGCACACATAATAAGTAAGTCTTTAAAAAATACATCTATATTTCCATTGGATCCTGACTCTTTCTACTACACAACAATCTCCCACTTCCCAGACCTGGGAACTGCTTTGTTCATCATCTTCCCCCACACCCCAGAGAAAACCCATGTGATGTGGGAGGTGATGTATGTAGTGAATATGTTTTATTGCCATTGGTTAATAAAGAAGCTGCTGTCAGCCAATGGCTTAACAGAGTAAAGCCAGGCTGAAAGAGGTGTATGGAGACAGTAGGAGGAGTCAGGGAGAAGCCATGTAGCCGCCAGAGGAGAAAAAAACAGCCACCAGCTGGAACCTTGCTGGTAGGCCACAAACCTCATGATAAAATATAAAATAATAGAAATGGGTTAATTTAAGATATAAGAGCTAGCTAGCAAGATGCTTAAGTGATTGGCCAAGCAGTGGTTTAAATGATATAGTTTGTGTGTGACTATTTTAGATCTGTGCAGCAAGGAACAAATGGCCTCAGCCAACACCCATGTAAAAAAAAAAAAAAGATTTCCGGTTAGTGGATTAGCCATATCATGTCTCCTCTCCAGGATGCCTTGACACTTCTGTAGCCAATGATAATCTGTCTAATTAACTACACACTGTCGCCATACCTTCAGTGTGCTCCTCCTCCTCTTCCAATGAAATGCCGCTCTCTGGAGCCTCGTAGCTACCTTCTTCATCTGAAAATCTCATGGTTTCTTCATCAGAAAACCCCATGGTTTCTTCATCCTCATGCTCCTCTTCCTCTTCGCCATCATATACAAAGCACTGTAGGTCATCTGAGGCCCCTTCCTCCACAAGGGTCTCGATATCTTCCGGGTACCCAAGAGACTCTTGATATTCCCCTTCTCCTAAGTACAGAGAATCGTCTGGCTCCTCGTATCTTTGCTCATCATTTAAGTAAGTGATACCCGTTGGAATGTCATACTCAGCTCTTCCAACTGAACGTGGGGCCATGATTTGTGGTGTGCCACACCCCTCCTGATTCTCCCTGGAGGATCCTGCAGTTTCCCCGTTGTTACTTTCCCAATAGACACATTCTTTCTCTTCAGAAAGCACTGCAATCTCTCCATTCTCCGGAGTTCTCCTTCCAAGGAAAAAGGGGTCTGCTGAACCCCTGCTCACTCCCACAGCTGCTTCAGCCCCCTGCTGTGCGACTTCTGAAAAGAAAAGATTTCATTATTGCCTCTGTTTTTTTTCCAAAGTAAGGATTTTAAATTAACTTAAGTCTCAAGTCCTCAAGCATCGCCTTTTTTTCTCCTTCCTTTCTTCCATACAAAAGTTATCTGTGTTGCCTGGGCTGGCCCAAACACTTGAGCTCAAATATGTTCGTTCCTCGTCCTCCCGGGCTAGCTGCGGCTCTAGGAATACAATCAGCCTCTCTTCTTTATCTCACCAGAAGATCAAATGCCAATTGTGCATGAATAACCAATCAATTATCAGAACTAACTTTCCAGAGAGAAAAAAAAATCAAAGCAACTGCTGCCTCTCTGAGCAGCTTCACATGGTAAAAAAGTGAAAAGAAGTCTAGCTGTTATGAACTAATTAAATTAATCCATATTAATATGCTTAATTAACACTTGTATTAATTATACATTCAATGTAACCCACACTCAGATTTCTTTGGGCCACTGCTAAGGAAGTCTCAGTAACTCCTAATGAATGAGCTGATTACTGTGTTGGAATAGTGTATTCTAGAAATAGCAAACTGTTTCTCCAGGCACCTGAGGCTCGTAAAGGTTAGTTTTCAACTGTCAACACAGCTTAGAATCGCCAGAGAAGAGGCTCTCACGTGAGGCGTTCTCTACAGTGGGTTGGCCTTTGGACGTGGCTATGGAGAACTGTTTCAAATGAACTGATGTAGGAAGGCCCACCCCAGCCACTGTGGGTGGTGGTAATCCCTAGGCAGGGGGTCCTGAAGAGCAGAAGAGTCCAGAAAAGAAGTTGAGCACAAGCCAGCAAATAAAAGGCATTCTTTTGTCCCTGCTCCTGACTGTAGAAAGGACGGGACTAGCTCTCTCCTGAGAGCCTCTGTCTCTGTGACTCCTCCCACAATGATGAACTGTGGCCCGGGATTATGAACTAAAATCACCCCGCATACATTACTTTTGTTTTTTTTAATGTATACAATAGTCTATCTGTATGTATGTCTGCAGGCCAGAAGAGGGCACCAAACCCCATTACAGATGGTCGTGAGCCACCATGTGGTTGCTGGGAATTGAACTCAGAACCTTTGGAAGGGCAGGCAATGCTCTTAACCACTGAGCCATCTCTCCAGCCCCCGCATACATTACTTGTTGTCACAAATTACTTTGAATACAGTAACTGGAAAGGAAGCTAGAACAAGGTTTGGCCTGTTTTAAGGATCATGAACATACACTGTTTTAATCTAAGCCCTATCTCTATCATCCCTTAAAATCATCTTGGGTCTTCTTTTAGTATATTACTTAAAAAATTGAAAGGAAGGAAAGAAGGGAGGGAGGGAGGGAGGGAGGGTGGATGAAAGAAAAGAAGGAAGGAGAAAAGAAAAAAAGCTACATCTCCATCTAGTGGTTATTTCTTGAATTGCTAAACAATAAACTGGACTAGTTCCCCGCCCCCATCACTAGCCATTACTACGTTTTGTAACAAGTCCATTTTTAAGACACTATACATTTTTACTAGCTCTTATTAATCACACAATTAATAGTAGCATTCTCTCTCTCACACACACACAGCTCATAGTTTGATTACACTCATCCCATACTGCTCTCATCCTCTCTCCTCCAACTTGTCTTTCTATTCCCAACAGATGCTCTCTCCCACCTTCTTATCATACATATTTAATGTGCAAATATAGAAATGTAGATTTACAAATGAGAGAAAGCATGTGATGTTTGTCCTTCAGATCTGATATCACGCAATATGATCTTTTCCGGCTCTATCCACTTTTCCTACAAACATGATGTCATCCTTTCTGTTTGTTCTTATGCTTGCTTAATTTTGAGACAGGCTCTCACTCTGTAGCCATGGGCAGCTTGGAACTTGCTATGTCACCCAGGCTGGTCTGCAATTCTTGGTCCTCCCACCTCTGCCTGTGTAAGAACTACAGACATAAGCTAACATGCCTGACTTTCATTGTGATGGCTAAACTATACACCATTGTCTTTATATGGCATATTTTCTTTATTCATGCATCCACTGATTGAAAATAGGTGGATTCTGTAAACTGGCTATTGTGAAAAGTGCCTCAGTAAACAATGGCAGAGTGCTATCTATGTGCACTGGTTTTGATTCCACTGGATGGATGGATGGATAGATAGATAGATAGATAGATAGATAGAGTTATTTTTGGATCATCTAATAGTATTTGTGCATACTTTTAAATAGCTAGTATAGAGTAGGATGTTCTATCCTATGTGTGTGCAGCAAACATCCATGTGTTTCTGTGTGCACTCGTTGATGCAAGTGCACATGCCTGTGGAGCCTGGGGGTTGGAGCTGGGCTATATCTTCTTCTCTTGTGAGTCTAGCCGGCCAGCAAGCTCCAGAGACTATATCTATTTGCCTCTGCCTTCCAACGCTGGGTACATGGGTTCATGCTACCCTGGCCAGCACTCTAGGTGGATCCTGGGAATCTGAATTCAAATCCTCATGCTTTCCCAGCAAGCATTTTACCACATGAGTCAATCTCCCCAGTTCTGGTAGATATGCCAACAGCCAAGCTATCTGATACATTGTTTACATATAATAAAATTCCATACTGAGTCCCACTGTATGGATCCCATACAATAGTTGTTATATTAACGTGCAGGTTTTTCTTCCTGAGTCTGGATTAACTTATTTAATATTATACTTTCCAGATCCATACATATTCCTGAAAACGTCATCATTTTATTTTTCTATTCCTTAGAGAACCTCATTTGCATTATCCGTTCATCTGTTGGTAGACACGTAAAGCTGGTTCCGTATCCTTGCTATCATAGATAAAGCGGTGATAAACACAGAATGTGCAAATGTCTGTGTGGTATATTATGGTGTATTTTCCTGGAAATACACCCAAGGAGAAGAACAGCTAGGTCATATGACAATTCTGTTTTTACTTTCATGTTCTCCCTTATATACAGATCACTGTTTACAACGTATGCACGCATCTACATGAGTAGGTAGAAGTGCGGGTATAGTATAAAACTTAAGGAGACCAAGAGAAGATAGTAATAGGTGAACAAGAAGGACAGAATGCAGGCAAAAGGACATGAGTCATGAAAGAAGGTATAAAGCTACCTTTTATTGAAAAACATTTCCATACAATATTTTTCCCTGTGCGAAAATATGGTCAAAATATATTATATGAGCCAGGCGGTGGTGGCGCACTCCTTTAATCCCAGCACTCGGGAGGCAGAGGCAGGCGGATCTCTGTGAGTTCGAGGCCAGCCTGGTCTACAAGAGCTAGTTCCAGGACAGGAACCAAAAGCTACGGAGAAACCCTGTCTTGAAAAATCAAAAAAAAAAATATATTATATGGGGAAAAAACTACTTTTTCCCCCATTTTGAACTCCATCTTAGTTTCTTTTTTCTCTCTTTATGTGAACGAGTAAATAAAAATATAATTCAAAGCAGGAGAATAGCTGGGCAGTGGTGACACACGCCTTTAATCCCAGCACACAGGAGGCAGAGCCACTATGAGTTCGAGGCCACCCTGGTCTATAGAGTGAGTTGCAGGACAACCAGGGCCACACAGTGAAGTCCCATGGCATGAGAATGGCCGTTCTGTCTGTACAGAAGTTCACTGAGAGCAGAGGTGTGGGACTCCACAACTTTTTGAGCGGCTTCCTTAAAGTAGCTGTATTTTAGTCGTGAATTAATGACAATAAAGTGATTTTTTTAAAAAAGAAAAAATAACCATATTCTATAGAGTATGAGTTTCAAGACCTTAAAACCTGTATTAATCAAATGAAGAAATCACAATTTTAGAAACTACTGTTTTACCGGCATTCTTTCCCAGAGAACAGGAAGCTGCCGATTCTCTGGCAGGTTATTACAAATGGTTTTCCCTGTACTTTCAGAGTGAATAGTCAAAGGCCCTGCTCAAGGTCTTTGGGGGCGTGAGTCTCAAATGTACCTACCTGTGCAGGAAAGCCCTAGAGAGTACCATGATTGACAGTGAGCTCTTTCCCAGCCCCAGAACAATGAGGATCTGCTGGGGGCACTGAAAGGGGGGGGGGGTGGCTAAGCACTAGGATCAGTGAAGACCAGTCTCCTAATCAATGGGATCATTGTTCCCTGCTGTAAAAACTACACTTCCTGTCTCAGAATTCAGTAAGAATCGCCTTCAGAAGTCAAATCCAAACAGCAGGCAACAATTCATTTTCTTTTTTAGAAAATCCGTTCCTCCCCCTTTCCTTCAAAATTTAAAAAAGCAACTTACCACGCTTTAAGTCCAAAGTGGCAGCTGCCTCTGGGAACACGTCAGACAAACACCTGAGGAAACAATGACAGCTCTCCTCTCCTCTCTTCCGGATCACAATTAACAGCTTCCGACTTTTCTTCAGGGGATCTGGAATCTGCTCTAGCATCTCATACTCGTCCTCAGAAATCAGTCTCTGAGAGGCTAACATGTCCAAGAGAGAGTCGGGGTCTTGCTGGAGGACATTAAGCAACTTCGTTCTTTGTCTTGCTATGATTTCTGAGGAAGCACTCTTGGTAGCCATTGCTTCCTGAAAACCAGGAAATGAATTAAAACATTCTGGCAAGTATAGAAGTGTAAGAGAGAGAAAGAGAAAGAGAGAGAGAGAGAGAGAGAGAGAGAGAGAGAGAGAGGAATTCTACTTAGCAAAGATAAAATATGTCAAGAATACCTTTGTTGGCTTTGTTGGAGAGGGCAGAGAAGAACAAACATAGGAGGGGAACAGCAGCTCAGAGCACTCTGTCCTTGATTTCCTGGTTGCTGGCCCTTTATCTGCTCGTGTGTGTGTGTGTGTGTGTGTGTGTGTGTGTGTGTGTGTGTAAGTGCTTGCTGAGGACAGAAACCTCTCTGCTCTTTGATTATTAATACCGGACAGCAGTGGGGAAACAGGATGATTGGGATAAAGGATAGGGGAGCAGGGAAGCACAATTCTTAGTTAAGGGAGCCACCTTAGGGTTGGCAAGAGACTTGAACCTAGAGTGGCTCCCAGGAGCCCAAGGAGATGTCCCCAGTTAGTTCCTTGGGCAGCTGAGGATAGGGAACCTGAAATGACCCTATCCTATAGCCATACTGATAAATATCTTGCATATCACCATAGAACCTTCATCTGATGATGGATGGAGATAGAGACAGAGACCCACACTGGAGCACTGGACTGAGCTCCCAAGGTCCCAATGAGGAGCAGAAGGAGGGAGAACATGAGCAAGGAAGTCAGGACCACGAGGGGTGCACCCACCCACTGAGACAGCGGGGCTGATCTATTGGGAGCTCACCAAGGCCAGCTGGACTGTGACTGAAAAAGCATGGGATAAAACCGGACTCTCTGACCATGGCGAACAATGAGGGCTGATGAGAAGCCAAGGACAATGGCACTGGGTTTTGATCCTACTTCATGTTCTGGCTTTGTGGGAGCCTAGCCAGTTTGGATGTTCTCCTTCCTAGAAATGGACGGAGGGGGGAGGACCTTGGGCTTTCCACAGGGCAGGGAACCCTGACTGCTATTTGGACTGGAGAGGGAGGGGAGAGGAGTGGGGGGGGAGGGGGGAGGGGGGAGAAGGGGGGAGAAGGGGGAGGGAAATGGGAGGCTGGGAGGCGGTGGAAACTTTTTTTTTTCTTTTTCTCAATAAAAATTTAAAAAAAAAAATACCGGGCAGCAGAAGCACGCCGCACACAGTAGCGCACACCTATCATCCTAGCATCCAGAAGGCAAAGGCGGGAGAACCAGGATTGCCGCAGTCTCAAGGTTAGCCGAGTCTACACTGTGTTCTAGGCCGGTCAGGACCGCGTAGAAAGACCCTCTCTTAATAAAACAAAACAGAACATGAAGTGAAGCTGGGGGCTTCCCCCAGGAAGTTTCCCTTGAACTTCAAATTGGGCTCTATATGCCTGCCCCGGGTACTGTACTATGATGATACCAATGTAAATTAACTGATTTGTGGAGAGCAATCTTCAATATGCAGGTAAACGATAGAGCTAAATAAAGATTCAAAATGTATAACTTTCAACCCAGCAATCCCACCTTGGATGTGCAGGGGCTAGAGAGATGGCTTAGCAGTAAGAATACTCGTTACTCTTACAGAAGAACTGGCTGCTGTTCAGTTCCCAGCATTCACAAGACGGTGGCTTAAAACCATCCATAAATCTAGGTCTAGCCGGGCGGTGGTGGTGCACGCCTTTAATCCCAGCACTCGGGAGGCAGAGGCAGGCGGATCTCTGTGAGTTCGAGGCCAGCCTGGTCTACAAGAGCTAGTTCCAGGACAAGCACCAAAACTACAGAGAAACCCTGCCTTGAAAATCAAAAAATAAAAAATAAAAAAATCTAGGTCTAAAACTGACCTCCATGGGCACCAGGCACACATGTTGCACATGTACATACATATAAATGAAATCTCATATATATAATGAAATTAAAATAAAACGAAAATATTTTGAACAAAATATTAGATACATGCCAAAGATGTATGTATAAAAATCCCAAAAGTATAATAGCAAAAAATCAAAGATAACCTAAATTTTCATAAATTGGAGCTCTGTAAAATATGGTTACAGTAAAATAACAAATATATGTCATACATATATATGAATATATATTTTTTGAGACAGGGTTTCTATATATAACAGCCTTGGTCATCCTAGAATTCACTCTGTAGACCAGGCTGGCCTTACAGAGATCCACCTGTCTGTCTACCAAGTGCTGGGATTTAAAGAGTGTGCCACCACAGCTGACCCACCCACCAAAAAACTACTGAACTGTTAAGATTTTATTTGTGAGACGTTAGTGTGTACTGGGAATTGAACCCTGGTTCCCTGGAAGGGTAGCCAGTGTCCTTAACTGTTATGCTGTCTCTCCAGCTTCCTACTAGCTATTAAAAAAGATAGAGAGACCCTGTCTTGGAAAGAAAAAAAGAAGAAGAAATGCATAAATCAGAACTTAATAAATGATAATACCTACATTATAATATTTTGGAAAATAGCAAGTTATTATAGATCCCATTAAAAAAAAACAAGGGGCTGGAGAGATGGCTCAGCGGTTAAGAGCATTGCCTGCTCTTCCAAAGGTCCTGAGTTCAATTCCCAGGAACCACATGGTGGCTCACACAGAAAGAATATTGCATGCATAAATAAATAAATATTAAAAAAAATTAAAAAAAAAAAAACAAGCTGGGGACGGTAATGTATGCTTTAAATCCCAGCACTGGGAGGCTGAGGTAGGCAGATTTCTGCTGTGGGATAACCCTTCTGTACACTGTGAATATATGTTGCTCTCATTGGCTGATAATAAAAGCTGCTTTCGCCTATACCTAGGTAGAATATAATTAGGTGGGAAAGCCATACTGAATACAGGAGAAAGAAAGGTGGAGTCAGGGATAAGTCAGCCAGCTGCCCAAGAAGCAAGATGCCAGAAGACTGGTAAAGCCACGGCTACGTGGCAATACATAGTTTAACAGAAATGGGTTCATTTAAATGTAAGAGCTAGTTAGTAATCAGCTTGAACTATAGGTCAAGCATTTTGTAATTAATATTAAACCTCTAAGCAATTTTTGTTGTTGTTGTTGTTTTTTCAAGACAGGGTTTCTCTGTGGCTTTGGAGCCTGTCCTGGAACTAGCTCTTGTAGACCAGGCTGGCCTCGAATTCACAGAGATCAGCCTGCCTTTGCCTCCCGAGTGCTAGGATTAAAGGCGTGCGCCACCACCGCCCGACTTGAATGATTATTTATTTATTTATTATGCATACAATATTCTGTCTTGTGTATACGCCTGAAGGCCAGAAGAGGGCACCAGACCTCATTACAGATGGTTGTGAGCCACCATGTGGTTGCTGTGAATTGAACTCCCTTCCTTTGGACCTTTGGAAGAGCAGGCAATGCTCTTAATCTCTGAGCCATCTCTCCAGCCCCCTGAATGATTATGTAAAAGCGGCTGCAGGGCAAGGCAGGACAGAGAAACCTCCATTTGCAAATTTCTGTCAATCTGGTCTACACAGAGAGCTCCTGGGTTATTTAGGGCTATATAGTAAAAAAGAAAAAATAGTATGTAAACTAGGCATGGTGTTGCATGCCTCTAACCTCAACACTGGGGAAGTGGAGGCAGAGGGATCTCTGTGAGTTGGAGGCCAGTCTGGTCTATATACCAAGTTTTAGGTCAGCCAGGGTGGCATATTGAGATCCTGTCTCAGGAAAAAAAAAATGTGCATAGCATAAGTGTATGAACATATACACACATATAGTAAATATTTTATAAGATAATCAAGAGATATTACAAATTTTAATACTAGTTACTTCTGAGGATGAGATTATAAATGGGTTTATATTTTGTACTTTAAATACTATATATTTTAGGGCTGGAGAGATGGCCCAACAGTTAAGAGCACTTACTGCTCTTACAAAGGACCGGGGTTTGATTCCCAGGACCCACATAATGGCTCACAATCAATCATATCTCCAGTTCCAGGAAATCCAATGCCTTCTTCTGAACTCTGCTGGTACCAGGCATGCATATGGTATATATACATACATACAAGGAGGCAAAACACTCAGACACATAAAATAATTTTTAATTTAAATTAATTTTTTGGGACAGGGTCTCTCTAATGTAGCCCTGGCTGTCCAGGAACTCATTGTGTAGACCAGGATGGCTTCAAACTCACAGAGATACAACTGCCTCTGCCTCCCAAATTATTTTTGTCATCAGATATAGAGAAGTCAAGCTGGTGCCCAACCGGAAACTTCACCCCGATTAACTAGTATTTATAGTACTGGAAGTACTGTGCACACCACCAGAGGAGAAAGGCAATTATCACTAGCTCCATAGCCTGTGACCTACAACAGTGACCTGCCGGAAAGATATACTGGTGCAATAGTGGCACAAAGGTTATAGGAATAACCAACTTTCGGACTGAACTTAAGGCCCACTCCATGAGATGGGACCAATATCTGACAATACCTGGGTGACCCAGAACTTGAAACTAGACAGGTCACAGGCATGGGCAGTAGGGGGGAATCTACTACTATTATTCTGCCAAAGGAGCATAGCAATAAAATGACTCTTAATGATATACTGATATAGCCACAGATCAGTGTCTTGCTCAAGCCACATCAGAGAAGCTTCCTGTTGCAGCAGACAGGAACTAACAGAGACACTTGGGCAATATGCAGAGAATGAGAGACTTTGGAGCACACCATCCTAAATGGGCTATCTTCATCAAATTTCAGGGGTCTGTTTGGAAGAGGAGCAGGAAGATAGCATGTACTAGAAGGGACAGATGACTCCAAGGAAACCATCTTCCAGACGCAACAGGACCCGATGCACATAGGAACTCTCAGAGGCTATGGCAGCGCACACAAGACCTGCACAGGTTCAAGCCAGAAGGGGGTCCTAGCACTGAGAGGGGGATGCGGAAGTGGGGTCCCCCTCCTCCACCACTAACCAAAAGGCTATCTGCACTTGATAACTGCCGACAAAGGGAAGATCAGTTCTCACCAATGAGTGACACTGGGTCCATCAACACTCCAGGGCAGGCCCCGTGCCCAGGAGGTGACAATTTTTTGCTAATTGTTCTTTTGTCTGTTTGAATTTCATTTGGGTTTTTTTAGTGGAGGCAGGGATTATATTTCTTTTTTGTTTTTTTTTTTAAATAAAGAGAGAAAAAAGATATAAGGTTGGAACGGTAGGGAGTTGAGAATATGGGAGGAACTGGGGGAGGGAAAAAGCATGATCAAATATTACAAGAAAATATTTTTCAATAAAAAATGTATTTCACCAAAAAGGAGGAGGAGGGGAGGAAAAAGAAAATAAAAACTGATCTACCACCAATTGTTAGTAGCCAAAACCTGATTTTTTTATCAGAATCTCAAATTCAGGATTAACATGGTCTCAACAGGTAATGAAAGCAAAGTGGTAGAGGGTGAGCACCTAGGCTGAAGGTCTCAGTCTAAAGCTGGGCATGGTAGCTCACTCCTTTAATCCCATGGCACCCAAAGCAGAGGCATACAGGTCTCTGTGCTGTCAGCCAGCATGGTCTACATAGCCAGTTCCAGGCCAGCCGATGCTCCAGAGAACCTGTCTCAACCACACAGAACGGCTGTTTCAGAAACTGGCCTAACTGCATGTGGCAGCATGTGTCCGCACTACCTGTCAGCACCTGGGAGGCTGGGGCAGGAGGATCACTTGACCTCAGGGGTTTGACACCAGCCTGGGCAGCATAGACCCTACCTTAAAAATGAAAAGGAAAACAAGAAAAATTAATGTTGAGCTGCTGCTGACCTACCTAAACCTAGCTATTGAGTAGACACCTGGAAAGTCTAAGGGACTTCCTAGGCCTCTGGAGCATAAATTTCAGGTCTCCAGCACACCAAAAAGAAGTACCTCACATTATAGAGAAGAAAAACATATCTCACTGTCTTGATGTCCTTGGGTCTAGGAGTGTCTTGGGGAAAGGCACTGACATCCCTCTCGGAGCTGGGCTCCTTGGTAGTTAATATGCATTCACTCTTTCTTCACAATTCATATTTATCATGGCCTCTGATGTAGATGACCCCATCCAAAATAGCTGTTTTCGTACTCGTAACACATGAGTATTTTAAGGTTACGAGCTTGCAGATAGCATTAAGGTTTCAGATTAGCTCACCTTGAGATGGAGAAATTATCTGGGTGGGGGTGGATATAATCCTTACAAGGGGCCTTAAACGCAGAAGGAAGGAGAATACATGTGAGTTGGGTTATTATTCCAGCAAGATGGGAGACAGCAATTAGAGTCTGGGGTAGCCTCTAGAGGAGTGGTTCCCATTTACTAAATCTAGCTTGCTTCATGCCACTAAATTTGTAGCAACTTGTCATACAATCTCGAGACTTATTTATGTTCAGGAAAACAACTTAAACGGTTGTTTTCCTTCTCTTGGGTTCGCCGTATCTCATCCGTCCTCCACTTGCAGACTACCTCAGTTTTTCATTTCTACTCCCTGCCCCTAGAAGAGACTAGTACTTAAGTTCTATTTGCTAACACGCAAAATACATAAGCAAACAAATAAAAAGCCCTTCTGATTCGTTAGTGTTCACCTTGTTCTGCTGTCAATTAACTAAGATGTTGCATGTGACAGACCAGTAATTGTCACATTTGTTTTAGAAAGTAAGTGGATGAAAAAAGTACGTAGATGATATGGCCGAGATTATTCCCCCGTTCAAAAATGTTTGTATATAATCTTCAAGTTTTGTATTGGAAGAGGTTGAGAACCACAGACGTATTAGAGTTTATCAAGCAAATTTGGAGTTACTAATTTCAAAACGATCTAGAGAACATTTTTACGCTACAGATTTCCGAGCTGTACTCAAGCCTGAAGGATCAGATTTCCTGATGGCAGAGCGCTGGAAACTGTTCTATGTGCGATTTTTAACAAGTTCTATGTGCGATTCCTTGTATGGGATCAGACAATTTGCCTCTGTAATTACTTTTGCAAGAAAACGAGTTAGAGACAAAGATCCTACCCTTGGGGGGGGGGGGGGGGGGGTTGAGGAGAGTGGGGTCGGGGTGTTAGCGAGCGTCCCAGGGAAGACAAACCTGGGAGGCTGGATTTCCAGCCTCGGGATCCTAGTCCCAGTAGCATACACAGTCAGCGGCACTGTTACGCAGAGTCCGACCGCCCTCGAGCCCCACGACCGGAATCCACGCCGCGGGCCCAGACCGGACTGCAAACGCTGAGGTTTCCTAGCACCGCAGTAAAAGGACAAAGACTGCAAACGCTACAGCGGCCAGGGACAGCCGCGAGATAACAGCAAACAGCGCCTTGGTCAGGGGCGGCTCTGGACGCCGCCTTTCTAGGGGGAGCCTCTGGCGCTCGAGGGGGCGGAGTCGGACGCGCCAGCCACGCCCCCTACCGGCGCGGGCGCTCGTTTGGCTCTCCGACTCTCCGGGTCCCAACCACACCACTGCACCGGAGCCTTAAGAGTGCTGCACCTCGGACGACGGAAGTAGTTCTCCGGGCGGAAGCTTATCCACAGGAAGTAGCGGGAGTGCTTTCTCTTCCGGTCTCTTTGGCCTCGGCGGCAGAAGCAAGATGGTGAGTGCGGTGTTCGGGCTCTGTTAATCTCTTTCCATCCTTCTTTCCCGGGCTGCTCCGCCCGCTGCCGGTGCGTGGGGGACGAGATTCCCAATAAGGGGAACTGTTGGGCCGGGACGGGGTGCGTGCGGTGGCCCGCAGGAGCCAGGGGAACGGCCGCTCCTTGGCTGGCCGAGCCTGCGGTCCCAGCGCCACCGTGGGTCTCCGGGCTTTGGGGGTATCGTGCGCGGTGTTGTCCCCGGGGAGATGCCCAGGACAGGTTTGGGAACATTCGGCTCTAAACACCGAGAAACGAGTGGTGTTTCTTCCCTGGAGCCCGGAGCAGGAGGCGGGCACCTTCTTTGCTCTAAACCCTTAACGCTTAAAATCAAGGAGATTGCAAAAGGGCTGACGCCATTTTAGATCGTGTGAGTTACCGGCAGCATTTTTTTAACAATTTTCGTGGGAAGAATTTAATGCTTTGCCCCATATACTTGTTGCATCTCGTCAGTAGTCATTTTCCGTGAAAATGCCAGAGTACGTCGGAAAGTAGTCTTTAAAATTGCTTATAAATGCTTTTACCGTGCAGACGAAAGGAACGTCATCCTTCGGAAAGCGTCGCAACAAGACGCACACGTTGTGCCGCCGCTGTGGCTCTAAGGCCTACCACCTTCAGAAGTCTACCTGTGGCAAATGCGGCTACCCTGCCAAGCGCAAGAGAAAGTGTAAGTGCCTTAATCTTCTGGCCGGTTATGCCTTGAGCTGAGGTAGGCTAGAGAACCCCTTACTGGGTGCGTGGTGGTTGGTACAGAGAGAACTTAGGTGGTTGGTGAAGCTCGGTGAAAGCATTGTAAAGACACTTCTGAGAAAATTGGGTGCTTGAGAAAACCCTTTGGAATCGTGTTTTCTTAGATAACTGGAGTGCCAAGGCTAAGAGACGAAACACTACCGGGACTGGGCGGATGAGGCATCTAAAAATTGTCTACCGAAGATTCAGGTACAGTTTTTGTTTTGATACCATTGGCTCTGGAGGGTGGGATAAGAGTCCTGTAACTTTCCACTGATGAATAGTGGAAATAATACTGTAGCCTGTTTGGGTTGGGTTTTTCCCCTTTAGAGTGTATCTGTGAACCACCCGGATTTTTCAAGACTTGTTCTACGAATGGGGTCCCGAAGGCTACTTACTTGCTTGGTTAACTCTTAGATTTTTCGAGACAGGGTTTCGCTGTGGTTTTGGTGTCTGTCCTGGAACTAGCTCTTGTAGACCAGGCTGGCCTTGAACTCACAGTTATCCGCCTGTCTCTGCTACCTAGACCTCTTCTGGGTGCTAACCCTAGATAGGGATTTTGTTGTTTTTTGGTTTGTTTTTAGCCCTGGAACCGGGACCTTGACATTTCCTTAAGAATACAGAATTCTCTGCCCCATCTTAGACTTTGCTTCAAAATCTGTATGGAAGCCTGCCCTGCTTGCCTCGCTGCTCATCCATGATATAGGGGTTGCCCGTAGGGAAAATGAGATTTGAGTGCTGGGGGCTTCTGGCTACAGTCTGCTGTAGGACCTGACTTGAGGGTCACAAGGCAACAAGCAAGAGAATGTAGACAATGCCTTGTGTTTGAGTTTATGCTGCATGGCGTTGTAACTTTATGTGTAATGGTTTGCTGGTGTTCTGTGCTTCAGATGGCTCACATTAATGAAATGAGGTTCCTAGAGTAGGGGTGAGTGTTGTTACAATTCAGTCTTGGAGCCGGGTGGCGCACGCCTTTAATCCCAGCACTTGGGAGGCAGAGGCAGGCGGATCTCTAAATTCGAGGCCAGCCTGGTCTTTTTTTTTTTTTTTTTTTTTTTTTTTTTGGTTTTTCAAGACAAGGTTTCTCTGTGGTTTTGGAGCCTGTCCTGGAACTAGCTCTGTAGACCAGGCTGGTCTCGAACTCACAGAGATCCACCTGCCTCTGCCTCCCGAGTGCTGGGATTAAAGGCGTGTGCCACCACCGCCCGGCTCAGCCTGGTCTTAACAAGAGCTAGTTTCAGGACAGGCTCCAAAGCCACAGAGAAACCCTGTCTTGAAAAAAACAAAAAAAAAGAGAGAATTTAGTCTTGGTTGAGCAGCTTCAAGGCTGCTGTTCATCTGGTCATTCTTTTCCATCACTAAGGAAAGATTGGAGCCTGTTCTTTGTACCATAAGGACTTTGTTTGGTTCCTTTGAAAATTGGGGAAATGAGTCTAAAATTGTTGGGCCTTTTTATTTGAATCAGTTTGTTGTAATCTGATGTGGGTGTCTTGGTTTTTCGAGACAGGGTTTCTCTGTGGTTTTGGAGCCTGTCCTGGAACTAGCTCTTGTAGACCAGGCTGGTCTCGAACTCACAGAGATCCGCCTGCCTCTGCCTCTCGAGTGCTGGGATTAAAGGCGTGCGCCACCACCGCCCGGCTGATGTGGGTGTCTTAAGTGGAGTGAATGATGGCTTATCAGTGATGTTCTAAAAATAAATGTCTGAACTTATGAATGCTATATTGATTTCAGCGTTTTAACTGAGATAAGCTTATTAAGGTTTATTCAAATTGGAAATTATGTTGATGTTGCTGCATTAAGTTTTCTTGTTTGTTTTTAACCTGGCGCAGGCATGGATTCCGTGAAGGGACAACCCCTAAACCCAAGAGGGCAGCTGTTGCAGCATCCAGTTCATCTTGAGGATTTCAATCTGTCATAAAATAAATGTTCTGGTTTCCAAAATTATGTGTGGTGTGCTAAGGTATTTTAATGTCAGTTCAGTGTTGGGTTTTGTGATTGCTTTGAATTTTAGTAGCATAAGGTTAGTTCCTATGAGGCTGGAGTAGGGGCTGGGAAAGAGAATCTGAACCTGGGGACACAGGAAGTGGTGGGCTGAGTGAGGAGGCTTGCTAGGGAAGACGACCATTAACTGGAATGGTTATGTAAAATACCACAGCTGTGCAGTCTAAATTATTAATCCCTGCTGTGCTTAGGGTGTCTCAAGGTGCTTGCAATCTAAATGGGACTGAAATTTCTGAGCAAAGCCCTCATGGATGGGGGGTATTTGTCCTAACCCTTCTTTTGAGCTCTTGATTCCTGAAGTTTCAGATTTTAACATTTACTTAGACCAAGCAAGATGGTCTTTGCCTTTATTCCCAGCTCTTGGAGACAAGTGCTGTTTACTTGTAAATTGTTTTTCTAGGTATTGGTCGGACTTTTTCATAGTACATGAGACTACTCAAAGGTGTCAAATTCAAGGGCATGAAATTGTTTTTGACAATGTATGGTTCCTCGTCGTTGAACTCAGCCTGTAGGCTTGTTAAGATTATGGTGTACTGTATGGTTACTAATGGTTGAAACACATAAATTCTTACAAGGGATGGTCAGACATTGAGACAGATGGGAGTTAAACTGGGTGTCTGGACTTCAGTGGGTCTAGAGATGAAAAGGATAGCACACAGCCCCAAGGAGGTGCTAGAAGAAAAGCCCTGTTAACTAAGGTAAGTTCATCTCTGAACTAATGGCCTGTGGTGTTTGTTGTGTGCAATAGGTTTGGGGAAAACTAGGCAATGATGAGGCTGCTCACTTGAGGATTGAGTGCATCTAGATTCAGTTTCACCGCTTTGGGTTTGGGTGTTGTTTTTTTTTTTTTAACTTATGTATACAGTCTTCTGAGAATAGGGAATACGGATCAAATTACAGGTTGTGAGCCACCATATGGTTGTTGGGTATTGAACTCAGGACTTCTGGAAGGGCAGCCAGTGCTCTTCACCTCTGAGCCATCTCTTCAGCCCCTGGTCTGGTGTTTCTAAAGACAGTTTCTCTGTGTAGACAAGGCTGGCTTCATCTTCAGATCTAGTTTTTATGTTTGGTATGTCTGACTTGGTATATAAGTCTTGAATTGTGACACTACACAATGTTGTGTTTCTTTCATAGCTTATGGGGTACATGTAGCCTGTGATTCCCAGGTTGCACAGCTGGATCTAAACTGAGTTTTGAGCAGGGATAAGTGGCTAGAGAGCTTGGCAATTTTTTTTTTTTGTTTTTTTTGCTTAATAGAAGATCTCCAAGTCATAAGTAGCTTGAGACTCAATTTGTATATTTAGTGTTGAATGTGCCCCCCCCCCCCCAAGCCTTAGCTAACCATACTACGTCAAGTACTGGGGTAATAGAGATGTGTGCCAGCATGCCCAGTTTTATGATCTGATTTTTGTGAAGCAGGGTCTCGCTTTGCCCAGGGCTGGCCTGTAACCCAACAGATTTGACTATCTTTCTAGTGCAGGTATTAAAGGCATGAACCATTATGCCTGACTGCTCAGCTATTATTAACAAGCTGAAATCACATTTTATTACTGTTCAGAATTTTACGAAAATGTTAAAATTTTTACGTTTATAAAAGTGTTGATAGACCTGATTTTAGCATTTGGGATGATGAAAGGCAAGAGAAACTAGGGAATTAGGCCATTCTGGACTGCGTGAAACCATGTCTCTAGAAATTTTTTCCTGGAGAAGGAAATCAAATTTGGCCTGGTGCATGCTAAGTGACCAAGGTAGGCTTCAGCTTTACTGAGATGACCTCTGAAACTGTCTCCCTACCCGAGTTCTCTCTTCTTATTTGTCCTATGTGTGGGGGCATCTGAAGGGTCAGGTCAAGTAAGAGTTGGTCCTACCAGTTGTGTTCAAAGGAAGCAATTGAAACATTTGGTGACATGTACCTGTATCATCTTGCCAGCCCCTAATTCTCCCATTTTCTGCCTCTGTCTT